TTCATTTAGAAATACTTTGTGATGCTGAATACACTATGAAAGTATCTTTCTAATTTTCTAGGAGCTGAATTCCCTTTGGTCAGAATCAGTGTATCACGTGTGCTTAGGTACTTCTGACCACAGCGCCTGGTGTTGAATTCACAGGCGATAGCAATCAATTACGGTAATCAACGTTTTTGTTTTCTTTGCTAATTCTCAGACTGTTTCTATTCATGTCACAGCCTTCTCGCAGATGGCTTCTGTCACCGGATTTCTCCTGATGTAGCGAGACAACACCTCAACCCTGATATTCCCTGCTGGTGAGCAGCAAGGGGATCCCCGTTAAACGCGGTACTAGCGCTGATCACCAAGCTGGGTGTTTGGGTTCAGCACGCAGGAAATCCTGTTAGCCTTGGGATAAACATTAAGGGCAGGTGTAAACAAAGGGTTCACATAAGTGCTAAATCCTCTCTCTGCGTGGCTTTGCGGAGAGGTAACACAGAGACAGGGCTTCTATTAACTAGAGAGAAAACTGCAGCGCACCCGCACCCAGCCGGAGCTGCTGCCAGCCCCAGCACCGGCCGGGGGCCAACAAAGGCTCTTCCCCCCCGGCCTCTTCCCTGCCCTCAGCCCCCGCTGGGAGCGCGATGAGGTGCCAGGCTTGGCTGCAACCACCCCGCGGTGCGAGGCCGGGCGGCCCCTCCGTGCGGCCGGTGCGCGGCTGCCCCCGCTCCCGGCTCGCCTTAATCCGCCCGCAGCCTCCTCCTCCTCCCGGACGGTACCTATCCCGCTTCAGCCTCCGCTCTTTTGTCCCTCCTTTCTTTTCCCTCTTCGGTTTCTTTTTCCCGTCTCTTCCTCCCCCGCCTGTCCCCGCTCCTGTTCCCCATCCTCTCCGAACTCCGCTGCCCTCCTCGCCAGCCTTCCGCCCCGCTCCCTGCAGCGCAGCCCCTGCTCCGAGCCCCCCCGTCCTGCCCTATATCCCATCTAATCCCCCCAGGATTCCTATATCCAGCCTGTTGTCTGCTGGCGGCCACCGAGCTAATTCTGCGGGCAGCGCAGGGCGCAGAGCCGGCTGAGCGGCTCCGCTACGTCCCTGGCCCGCAGCCCTGGCCCGGCCGTACCCCCGGGGCCGCTCCGGGGCCGCTGTCCCCCCGCCCGCCCCGCCGCCGGCTCACCCGCTGTCCGCTGCGGCCGAGGGTGGCGGGGCAGCTCTGTCCGCCAGCCCTCCGCAAGTCACATCCCGGCTCCGGCGGCGCGGCGGCTCCGCGGCGGGGAGCGAACGCAGCGCGCACCGGCCCCGCGGCGGCTCATGGAGCGCCCGGCCCCGGTGCGCCGAGCCCAGCGGAGCGAGCGGAGCCGTGTCCGCCGCGCTCTGCGCCCGCCGCTCCTCCGCGCCACGGCCCCGCGGCCAGCCCCCTCCCACCGCCCCGCCCCGCTCGGGCACGGCTCGGCTCGGCTCGGCTGGCAGGGGCACCACGGGGACGGGGACAGAGCACCCCGGGACAGGGACAGAGCACCCCACAGCGCAGGGGCGCTCTGGCCGCGCGGAGCTGCCCGGCTCCCAGGGGAGCGGGCACGATGAGGGCTCGGGCGCGCACTTACACACACACACAGACCGCTCAAACACACACTGCTCACACACACACACTGCACACTGTCACACACACACACACACACACACACACACACACGGCTCTCTCACACACTCACCCTCAAACACACGCTACCACATCCCACACTGCCACCCCGCAGCCCGGCACCCCGCGCTGTGCAGCCGGGCACGGACCGGAGCTGGACCCGGGCATGGCCGCAGCCCGACGTGCTCAGGTGACACGGGCAGGACACAGCGCTGGCCGGGAGCAGGCACAGGCACACGGACCGGCGTTCCTGCCCTCTCCTGTCCCCGCAGGGCTTGGGCAGCCCCTCCCGGGCAGGCTGGCTGGGCATGCACACACCTACGGCCAGGTGTGGGACTGCGGAGGTGAGGGGGTTTCAGGGTTTTCAGCCCTCTGACAACGGGGGATTTTGAAAGCGGCTGGATACGTTCAAACCTTCTCCAGATGCAGCTTCCGACCTGCCACAGCCGGAGACAACAGCTCAACAAACACTCGGAAGAGAAAACGTTGGGAGCCTGTGTAGGGTGCAAGCGACATTTCACACGCAGGGTCAGCCCTGCAAGCGCGGCGGGTCCTGCTGGGCACTGCTCCGTGTCTGCCTCCTACCAAAACGGGCAGCTGCTGCCCTGCTTTGCAGCTTCCCCACAGCTCAGCCCCGAGACAGTCAAAACTCTCAGACAGGGCTTCCTGTAACTCCAGGAGGAGTTATTTGTAGGAGGAAAAATAGTTTTTCCTCCTGTGCTGTGCATCCCTGGGTCTGCACCCCTGGGTTATGTTTCCCCTAAAACCACTAAGGACAGTCTTGGCAGGCACAGCTGACACGGCATCAGCAGCAGGGAGTGCCTGGACTGTGTCCTTCCTGAGCACCTGCCCTTCTTGCCAGGTTTCCATACCCAGAGACTTCCAAAGGGAAAGATCTGCCCTGAAACGTGCGTTCTTCAGCACAGCAGAACTGTAACCTTTAAAGAGACTCTTCCTAATGTGTGGCTTATTTACCTGTCATTTATGATGCCTTGGGGGGTAGCCTGAACTTCTCAGCGTGGCTGACAGGGAGTAAATTGGATGGTGGGGCTGGACTGTAATTGCTGCTGTTTAGGAAGGGCAGCAGGCAGAGAAAAGCTGAGGCAGAAGAACAATTTCACATTTCTGCTTGTTCTTTCTCAGTTTCTCTATCTTGCTGCTTTCGGGTTTTAGGCACTGGTTTTATTTGAATCACATGTAAACAACATACCCTGCCCTTGCATCAGTTGACAGCTACACTGTATTCAAAGTGAAGCAGGATAATTTTAGAGAATTAAAATGAGGTGGTGAGAGGTGAAGTCGCTGTAAACTGCCCAAGATCACCCAGCAGTCTGGCAGAAAAGTGGAAAATACTGGTTCAACAGATCAGTCTGTCCCCCTGCTCCATCTTGGGAGCCTGAGCCAAGCACCCAAATACTACAGTAACAAGCAAAGACCTTTTTGTGTACAAATAAACACACAGAGCTCTCTGTGCCGTGCTGGATGCAGAGAGGTGGACCAGGGGAAGGATGAATCACAAGGATTCATGTGCTGTCGGTCTTGGCCGGCTCACAAGGGAGCAATGTGCTGAGCCCTTCAGCAAATGCAAATCTTGGGCATTGTTCCCTTCTTCCTGTGTCTCTAACACAGCCCTGGTTCCCTGAAGGAAACTGCCTCCCTCATTTGCCTTGTACTGATGGAACAGGGAAGATAATGCCCCTCTCAACCATCGCTAGTGGGTCAGCACTGAATAGGGCTGATTTCTCACCTGCTGAAGCAGTTTTTAGTGCTAGCTACCATGGAAAAGTGTAGGACAGGACTCCAGATCATCCAGGAAATTACAGGAGGACTTGGTAGAGTAGCTGAACTAAATCACAGCTCCTATTGCATTACTTTCCACCTAGTTAGCTTTGAAAAACATGCTCTTAAAATAGGCTTTTATATAGGGGAAAAATACTTCTGTCAGTCAACCACAAACTCATCAGCACCTTCAGCATGTCCTCACCGTAGGCAGGACGGAGTGGGTGCTGTGACCCAGGCAGACTGTGTGAATTCCCTGTTCCAGATGCTGCTCTCTACTCCTGCAGCAGCTCCTGGGACCCTGCAGTGCCTGTAGCCAGAGGCTGCTTGCTTGTGATCAGTGCTTGGAGAGGCTGGGGAAGGGGTGAGGTGTGCTAGGACAGAGTAGAGGCAAAATTTAGAGACCTTCACTTTTGCCATGGAATTCTGCAAGAGCTGATGGCCTAAGGAAAGGTGAGCTCAGTGCTCTTGTTCATCTCTGGAAGGATGAAGAACATGTTTGGTATCTATTTGTCTTTATTTTAGACTGAGTGTGCAATATAGTCAACTTTTAAAACTCCATTGCTTTTCAGTAATTTTCCTTCTCCTATTTCCTACAACACACATTTGGTGATTGAACAGATTTTTAGCTTTCCCCCCGCCAATATTTGGTTTATTGCTTGTGACAATAGGTAAACAAAGAGTCTGTGTGGTGCTGCATGTTCCCAGTGTTCCTCCTCTGCTGCCGTGCTCCCAGCAGGGTTTGACAGGAGGGAGCAAGGCTGTTAGAGCAGCACTGAGCAGACACCACTCACCCCTCCATGAATGCCAAATCCGTATCCCACAGACTGTCACCCTCATTTCAGCTGGTTTTCCCATGTCCCAACCTGAGATAAAGGCAATTTCCATCCTCTGCTCTCCTCTTACCCTTCAGAAAGCCTGGCAGGTGTTGTGTTTATTGCAGGAGCAGGCACAAAAACAGCCAGGCAGTGTTTCACTACCAGCTTTCCTTTGTACTGCAGAACCTTTTCACTGGGCACTCTGGTTCTGCAGCTCTGCCAGCACAGAACTGTGCTTGTGCCAGTGCAGTTTAAGTGGAATATTTCATTAAGAGATCAGCAGCAGGCACATGGAAATGACAGCAATCATTAAGTCTGCATTGCTTTGTTTGCACTGGGGAGCCCCAGGCACAGGCAGGGCTGCAGGCACAGGGGGAAGGATTCACACAGCCCTGTGTAAATCACTCCAGATTGCCCTGAGACACACTGAGAGCCTTCACCATGGGCTGGCCAGGCTCTGCTCTCTGCTCCTGGAGGCTGAGATGCTGCATTAATGAGTATGACAGAAGAGAATAAGGAGACAGCAGGTGAATGTGCCCCTGGCAGTGGTGTGTGGTTGATTCACACCATTTCTGAGCCCTGAGCAGAGGTGCTTTTCATTCCACAAATCCCTGCAGCGTGATTAGTTTGCCTAATACGTGCCCTGCTTTTTCTCAGGGCAGGATACAAATCCTGGTGCTCCCATTGGTTGGCAGCATCAAGGAGGCAGCGAGATTTGTGTGACCACCCTGAGATGGTTTCTCTGTTACTGCAGAGGGTTTCACACCTTGCTCCTGGCACTGCCCAGGGCAGACTTTGCTCTCTGCACTGTGCTGTGAAATGGGGTAGTGAGGAGAAGCGGAGAAGGGGAAATGAAAGAAGGAAAATCTTGAAATCACTATGAAGTTAAAGATTGGTGTCAGGAAGGAGATGGATGCATGGAGGACAGAGAAAGAAAGAATTATTGAAACATTATAAAGAAACATAAACTGGAAAAACTTCTATCCATGGCACAAAAGAAAAGTGCTCTCAGGGTAAATGGCTGTAGTGTTGGATGTCACATCCACTTCAAACCCAAATTAGACCTGTTTTTCAAGGTTGGGTTAAACAAGCCAAGGTAAGGACACACCTTTACAGCAGTGCACCTACTGATAATTCCTTTTCTGTTTGATAATAAATACAGCCTGTCCTGTGGTTCACCTCATCTCCTGTTTGGCCATACGGGGAAGGCAGTGAGTCTCCTGCACAGTCATAGCTCTGAACACCAGGACAAGGGAGCAGCAGGTGAGATTTGCAGGTGAGATTTACAGCGCAGTCAGTATGATATTTGTTTGTTTTCTCAACACATTCCTTTATCCACTAGTAATAAAACTGTAGAGAAACATGGACAAGTTTTATTATTTAATGCAGCTGGTAAGAATTCAGCTAAAACACAATTTGAATCAGGATGGTCTGTGACAACAGGCACGGGATTAAAGTCCTTGTGACTGGGAATTTGCAAACCTGCAAATCTTCATTTCACAGGGAAAACCAGCAGAGATAGGTATTTAAATCAGCATATCTCTGGTATATTGAGTTATTGCTATAGCCTCTCTGAGGCTCTGCCTAGATAAATCTCAAACTGGCCAAAACATTTGGATTTAAAGAGTTTGTACTTGACCTTTGCACAGACAAAGTCCCAGCTGTATTAAAATGAATTTGATCAAGCAAATGATTTGTGGCTTTCTGTTCTGAGTGAAAAAACTTCCTTAATTTGGGGAGAGAGTGACCCTGGCCAAGAACAGCAACTTCTGCTGGAGAACCTTGAGCTTCCTTCTGGTGTGTAGGTGTGGATGGTGCTGGGTGCAGTGATTAGAGTCCCCCTTAGATTCCCCTGCTGCAGGGAATGGTTACAGTCACCTACAATGCACAGAGGTGACTCTACAACCTCTTCACTCCTCATCACATTAAAGATATCAGCCAATACAACTGTGCCACCCTTGAATGCACTTATGCTTCAAATAAATGCTTGATTTATAAGTGCTTTTATTTACATCTGCTGGTTTCACACCCATGCTGAGGTGTAAAGAGTTTTTTCTGAGTGCTGCTAAGAATGGTGCTGGCACCTCTTGAATGCAGTGTCCTTAATGCCCTTTTCTGTGATATCTCCTCAAGGAAGAGGGAAATCACAGCCGGATTTTTTTTCTGACCTTCCTCTTTAGTGGCATGTTTGGTGAAAAATATTGGCCCCTGTTGTGGACTGTCTGTATATCTAAAACAAAACAAAACAAACCCCCAAAACATGTTTGTATCCCTCAGCTGATTGAACAATCCCCTCCGTGGTGTGCTCAGGGTTTCCATTGCTGAGACTGTCACCTGCTGGCCACGGAGAAGCTCGCCAGGATCTCGGGAGCAACCTCAGAAACTGATGGATTAAATACTTGGGTTTGCCTTTGGAAATTACACATTGAGATGTCCCTGGTTTATCTAACCTAAACAGGATGGTAATTCTTTAAATTGAAGTAGACCAGGAAAGCTTCCTCATTTATAAAACTTTTAAATTTCATGGAGTTTTAATGCAAAGGAAACCAGGTGCTCATCACAGTGAACATGTGGGGTAAAATACTGGTTCCAGTAAATTTCACTAAGCTTAACTATGGCAAACTAAGCCATAACCAATTAGCAAAGGAAAGGAAAGGAAACTAAAGGCTGGTTGTCCTGCCTCTGGCAGATTTTTGTCACATTAAACCATGGATACAAGATGACATTCAGAAAGGGTCACATTGTACTGACCAGCAGAGCTCCACAGGAGTCAAAGGACCTTTACTGAAGATCTGCACCACAGCTTTTGCAAGAAAGGAAAAGAATTGCTCTGAAAAGCTCTTTCAGCCCTGCCCTTGCCCTGCCCTCTCATCTGTTGTCACTGATAGCTCATTTTCTGCCAGTCTTTGGGCCAGAATCTCAGCTGGTGTGAATCACAGCTGGAATGAGGCTTTGCAGGGTGGTTTATACTCCTTGTTTTAAGGAGTGCTCCCCTGTTCTCCCCAGACCTGAGAGCAGGTTACTGCAGTCCCTGGAATGCATTGCTCAGGTGTGATTTTTCTGTTTCAGACACAGGAATGAGTTCTGAGCTGTACAACAGGTACAACTGCTCCTGTGATCCCAGTGGAGCACCACTCTCTAGAGTTCTTCCCAAAAATCTGGTTTTTCTTACATAATGAGCTGTGTTACCAGCATCCTGCAGGGCTGCTGATAGGAAAGGAAAGCTGGTGCCACAGAGGCTGTTTCATGACAATTATCCTCAGCTCACTTGGTGTTACACAAGGGTTTTGCTGCTGAAAGCATGTCTAAAGTAACCCTCAAGTTCAGTGCCTCATGTCCTACTGAAACTTTAAAGAAGAGATTTTTCTATGGATGTTTTTCCATAAGCCTCTTAGTTCACATCTGTAAAAAAAAGATTTCATGCACTTTAAAGATACTTTTTGACTGTCTGTAGCAAATCCCTAGAAGTGAATTTATGCAAAGTGGTCATATTTTTATTTCTTATTAGAAATCAGAATTATTTGTTTGGTGGGGTTATTTTTGGTTGGTTGTTTTTTTGGGTTTATAGTTTTCCTGTATTTCCCTTCGGTCTGTTCTTGTGCTTGGACACTCACAAGCTTTATTGTTGCTAGAGAACACAGGGTGCCTGGATGTCTGTCTTATGAAAGCAAGTGGCTGCTTAAAAAGAAAACCAGAGAGATTAGAGGCTGTGTGAAATCCCACTAAATTCAGTGAAAAGCATAACTTCAAAGAATTTGGAATCAGATTTCAAATGCATATCATGAGAGACTTTTGAAACTGGTGGATTAATAGAGAATACTGAGTCTCCACCCCTGTACAGGACAGAAAATGCCATTCACCTGCCCCAGAGTTACCTCCCCACTCCCTTCTCTGTGTAAAGAGCAAAGCTCTTCAAGGCCATTCTGTATCAAGAGAACTTGAAGAGCTCTGGCCCACAACCAGGCAGAGCCTGGGGCCAGTTCTCAAACACCAACAGGGAGAATCCACAGCCTCTCCATCTTCATTGAGAATTAACAAGGCTTTGCCTGAAATGCTCTTTTCAAATCTGTGAATGCTAAACTAGAAAAAATCCCCGTGGCTTCCTTCTCTGCTTCCCACCCACACTGCTCAGCAAGTGATTTCCCCAGAGCTGGTGGGAGCTCTGCTCGGGCGCAGGGTGGCTGGGGAGCTCTGTGCCCCAAGTTACAGAGCGTGGGCTCTCCAGGCTGTCACAGCCTCTGCAGCCCCATCCATCACTTCATTTATCACATGGAGATATAGATTCCCTTTAAAACTCCTCTTCTGCTGGTAGATTTACTTTGCACCAAGACCTAGTGTGAGTTAATATTCTTTTTGAGGGGAGATAAAGGGCAATGGAGATTCTAGCCTAAAGAATGTAGCCTGTGCGTTTCATCCCTGCATTGCACACACATTTTGATGGTCCTTGCTGTGTGTTTTATTGAGGCTGAGTCATAAGCAAATCTTAGTACTGTGGAAGGAAGGAAAAATGGAGTTTGGGCAAGAACATGACATGTCACAAATGGATCCAGCAAAGGGACTGCTCAAGCTGTGAGAATGCAGTGACATATCTCAGCAAAAGGAGAACTGAAGGTCAGAAGTCCTTGTGTTGCATTTCAGTTTTCATCACCTGAAGCCTGTCTGGACTCAGTGCTGTTTCTGGTGACAGGGCCATCACAGTGAGATGAGCCAATCCTGCTCGTGTGCCTTCCCTCAGGAGCAGCCCCAGAGCTCACAGGGACCATTTCTGCTCTTGTGTTTCAGTGTTAGGATGATGAACACCTGCCCAGGGCTTGGGGCTGACACAGGTGCTGCTGTTGGGGCTTGGTCAGGGCACAGCATTTTTGGCTGAGGTTGTTAAGGAAGGAGAGTGAAGCTCTTGTGCTATGCAGGCAGGAGTTTCCTTGGCATCCCTTGGGAATGCTGCCTTTGCCTGGGGAGGAGAGGGGAGCCACAACAGCTGGGATGAGCAGAAGGTGCTGTTTTTGGGGAGACTCAGCCATGAGCTGCAGTGTGCAGCATCCAGGCTGTGCCACAGAGATCAGGACACTGCAGAGCCTGGGCAGAGAGCAGCCAGGCTTGGGGCTCCCCAGGGACCCACTTGGACAGGCACAGCTGGCTGCAGCTCAAACACCACTGACTCACAGCCAAGCCCAGAAATAGGGCAGGAGAGAGCAGCATGTTCTGCCACCAGTGTTTGACTTTGAATTTGTTTAGAAAGTTAAATGTCTTTTTTTCCCCTCTCAGGTGATGCCTGGCTTTGAGGTCAGAAGCCTTTTGATCTTCTTCATGGAGCTCACCACGAGGGAGAGGTGTAGGTGTTCCTAATCCAGAGATCTGCACCTTTTACCCCCTCTCCTTGGTGGCCACTGCTGTCACACTCTGAGAGGCAATGAAAGGCCAGGGACACTCATTTGTCAGGATGCTTTGATAGGAGCCACTGCCCTGCTGACAGGAGCAGCCCAAGTGTGCTCCCTCCTGCCTCTTGGGCAGACTTTGGGCCCTTCCTCTGCCTCCCTGGAGCTGTGGAAGGGCAGATTGTCCTCACTGCAGCCAGCTGCAAAACTGCAGAGTCTGAGGCAATGAGACAGCAGCTTCTGAAGGGGCACTCAGTGCCACCAGACACAGCCAGACCAGTGGGTCTATGGATTAAATTATCATTAGCAAAGCTACCTAGCAAACACAGCTGCAGAAATATGGCTCTTTTCCTCCCCCTCCCTTTGGCCAGCTGATGTTCCTCCTACATGGTACAGAGGGATTTTATTTTATTTTATTTTATTTTATTTTATTTTATTTTTTTATTTTATTTTATTTTATTTTATTCAGGTTCAGGCTGCAGATCTGGCTGCACATTGGAAGGGGCTTTGGAGGACATTTGCTGTTTCTGAGGCCATCAACGATCACGTTCCTCCAGTTTCCTTCTGGTTTCTGCTCTTTCTTGGGGTTAATATTGCAGTAGGGAAGAATAAAAGGCCCTTTCTATCTTCAGGATCTAAAATGAAGGAACTGAACAGACAGAAAATTACAAACTTCATTTTAGAATTATTAATGGTTGAATTTACTGAACTCTTGGCCTTAAGGAACAATATCCAAACAGGTGCTGCCCAGGCAGAAGTCTGTGTTTGAATGGGCTGTGTGCACACAGAGTGTCTCTGCAGCATCCCTGGAAGGGCAGCATTGGTTGGCTGGGCACCCCAGCCCTGGAGGCTCCCAGCTGGCACTGGAGGACCCTGGCAGGACCAGGGACTGTGCCCTGGGGCAGGAGCTGGGCTGCCACAGCCAGAGTGAAGCCTCAAAGTGCATTTAAGGTGTTGGATTTTGCAAACATGGATGCAAGCAGCACTGTGTTTGTTAGCAAGTCCCCCAGCTGTCATGGCACTGTGAGTGTTTTCCAGCCCTGACCTGGCCAGGGGAGAGGGGCCACTCCTGGGGAGCTCCAGCTTCCTGCAAACACAGCTCCAGGTGCTGCACACAGACAGGTACCCACATAATATTTATACTTTCCTAATCTGGCAGCTTAATTTGTACAATCATGTGGAAAAAAACCCAAAACAACCCCAAACAACTGGGGTTGAATCACTGTTTTGTTTATATTTGAGAGAGAATTCACTTGCCTGTTGTTTGCCATTGCCCCCTCAGAAGATGGAGGCCTCTGGCCAGCAGAATGAAGTGTGGCTTTGTTTTACTATTTACAGAGGCTGGAAAGCACGATGGTGAAGAGAGAAAAAGAATGCAAATAACTTGTTTATCCCCAGAGATGGATGCTTTGTGCTGTCACAAGCTGTGCTGTTGACTCAACCCAGCTTTATTTCCCTGAACTGGGGGAGCTGACAAAGCTTGCTGAGGAAGGCTCCTAAGCCAGAAGGCTTTTGGTTTCAGGACAGCTCCATGAAGCATCCCAATGTTTTGATCTGGGGCATCAATTACCGGAGAAAGGAAAGGAAGGTGGGAAATAAAGACTGTAAAATAAAATTTCCAAGTGCAGATTTAAAATCCCACAGGAAAAGTTAAAAGCAGGGTTAAGGCAATATTTCCATCCTGCCTTAATGTGACTTTTCTAGTGTGGCCAATCTAAATTCAACATTGTAACTCAAGTCATATCATCTTGCATCCATTTCACAAGAACAAAAAAACAAACCAAACCAAACCAAAACAAAACAAACAAAAAAAAAAGCAGCAAAATGAAGCATCTCAGTGCACAAGAGTGCACATCCTGTCCCCAGGTTCCCTGCTCTCCTGCCTCTCTCTACATGCTGAGTACCCAAACACAGTGTGACCTGCCAGGCAGTGCAGCCTCGCTGCTGGGAATCTCAGGGAGGGAGTCCTGCCCAGGGGCTGACAGTGAGCTCATGTCCAGGTCTGGACAAAGCCCAGCTCGACCCAAATCCAAGCAGGAGAAAGCCACTGTCCTTTCTGTGCCAGCTGAATTGCTGGGCTGGAAAAGTCATTCATGTAAGTAAATGATTACTGATTGTCCTCTGTGTGGTGACTCCATCACCATCAATAACCTTAACACAATCTGTGATCCTTCCAAAAAGACCATCATTAGGTGGACTGATATCAGCACAGCCTCCCAAGTCCAAGGCTTTGATATCATCTCATAAATTAGGAAGATTTTCAGGCCAGACAACACTTCAGTAGTCTATGTGGGAATTGAAGGGCTGCTGCAATGAGCCTTGTAAAATAAAATGCTGAATATAAAAAGGAGCAAACAACTGTTTGCCTTCAGCATTCTGGAAGCTGTATGTGGCCAAAATAATTTTAACAGATGTGATCAGATGCCATCTCCTTTCAGCATGGAGTTAACAGCTTTGCAGTTCCTGGTGGCAGGGGAGAAGATCCACCTGCCAGGGCACAAGGGATGTGGTAGCAGAGAAGGGAGATCAACAGAAAAAGAAACTGCCAAGTCGTGCTGTCTGAGAGAAGTGAGGCTGCAAACAAATCATGCCATGGTTATCTAGACTCTGATCTGGCTTTCCCTGAAGTGGGTGCCAAAGTGTCCCTTGGTTCACACTGCACAACAGGCTCCAGCTTGTTTCATCTGTAAGTGATACTGTGCCCCTGCAAATGATCTGTGTGAGCAGTCAATGTGATTCCCTGTGCCAGTGACAAAGCTGATCTCATGGGGAGCTGTGCCAATGCTTTTAGACAGTAAACTTTTGGGCAAAAGTTATGTAAATGTTCAGATTAATTTAGATATGCAAGTAGCCCAGGAAAATCAATGGAATCACTTAGATGATTAAAATAACTTTGTCCAAAGTGTTTTTAGCCTCTGTACAGGTCCTTGATCTGTATGGATGGCTTGCACACTTGCAAAGATTAAAAAAGAACATTTTCATTAAGAAAACTTTCTCTGCTTGAATGCAGAGAAGGCGACTCAGTAAAGCAAGTTACTCTTTTCCCACTGGCATGTGTTGTGCCCAGGTCTTTATGTTCCAGTGTACAGACCCTGTCTGTGAGAGACATGAAAAGCTGTAATGCCAGGCTCTGTGAGTCCCTGATGTTTGCCAGTGTGGTTTCTTTATTTTTAGTAGTTCCTGGAGAAGGGCTGAATCCATCCATGTGCAAAAGATCCCAACTGACAGGGAGGGGAGGCATGCATGTGTTTTGAGACATGTGCCTGGGGTGGCTGTGGTTATGTAAGGGCTCTTTTGACATGGCCAATTACATAAAATGGAAATACAGGGGAGGAAGGCAGTGGGTGAAGGCAGAGAAGGAATCTGGCTGTAGCAGTGGAGCCTGTGTCCCTGCAGGTGCTGGGAATGAAGCAGAAGGAGGATCCCCAGATTGGCACATTTAAGCCTGCCCAGGAATCCCAGGTGCTGCTGACTTGGAGCAGGTGAAGCGGGGATGCTCCTGCTGCAGCCCCTGTGCTGGATGGCAGCCCCTGCAGGCACTGGGCACAGCGAGGCACACAGCAGCACTGGGCCTCAGACAGAGCCTTGGAAATCTGCTTCTGTTTGTCACATCTCAAACTGAAATGTGCTCAGTGAGTGCAGGACACAGGGCAGGGGCAGTTCTGCCACAGCAGCAGCAGAAAGGGGCAGTGCTAGGGCTGGTTTGATGTGTGTGGGCACAGCCCAGAGAGGACATGGCAGGAATGCCCAGTGGAGCGAATGCTTCAGCTGAGGGAGCTCAGCCCCCAGGGCAGGATTCACTGCTCTTGAGATCCCTGGAGCTGGCACAGGGCATTGAGAAGGGCTTTTCTTAGTGAAAATGAAGCTCATAACTGTTTGGCCAGGTAATAGGTGATCAGCCCAAATGCAAACATGGACTCTGCTCAGCATACAAGGACCACTGCAGCATGCTCACCTTTTCCACAGGTAACACTTTTGCTCTGGCATCAGGGCTGCTTCCCTGCTGCAAGGGGGCTGTGCCTGCTGCTGGGAAGGGAGGGAGAATGCAGGTTTGTGCCTCCTGGCCTGCCCTGCTGAATTTCAGACAAGAAATCAGAGATCTCCCATAAGAAAGCCATAATGCAGATGTACTTCTTTGTTTCAACCTGTGTCGACCTTTCCAAGTGTAAAGATCAGGACTGTGTCCAAAAAGGTCACAAAAGGCTAAATTTTATCCCTAGAACAAACCTGTCATCCCCTGCTGAGCAATTTCCCATGAGCCATGCTGTCTGTGCAGCTTGTGTCACAGGCTCAGGATGTGGTGACCCCTCTGACATGTCTTCTTCATGAGGCTGCCGCATTTCACATTGCACTGCCGAGGAGTGAAATGGGACACGGGAGGCTGTGTCCTCCTGTTGGTGCAGTCCAGCTCCAGCAGTAGGAAGGACCACCTCGTGTGGGGTGGATGTCAGATTTAATAGGGTTTTAAGAGGTTTCCTTTTGAGGGGGAGGCACACGTTTACCAGCTCTGGTTGATAACCACAGGGGTGAACCAGGGCGCTGGGGACACTCTGGGCGCCCCTTACCGTGTGAGCAGGGCACGGTGCCGGTCCCGGCAGCCCTGGGAGCGGCGGAGCAGCTTGGCCGGATTCCATGCATTCCCAACAGATGGTGCTGCGGTGCCACCGAAAGCTGAAGGCAAGCCTAGAACAGAGGTTTCGGGAGATTCCCGCTCCCTGCGCTTTCCCCCACGGTGTTCCCGATGAATTGGAGCAGGTTTTGTTTTCCCCACAGTAACTTGCGCACGCTTCACCTGGCCTCAGTGATTATCCCTCCTGCCCTTCAGCAGTGCCTGTGGCTCTGGTCTTGGTGAGCCTGCAGTTCCACTCTGCCTCCTGCTTTTGGGGATTTTGGCCTCTGCCTGCACAGCCATGAACCCCAGCAGGGAGGACAGCGGGTGCCACCTGTGTCACCCGGTCTCAGTGGCACAGGGCACAATGTCTCCCCAAGAGTGTAACTAACTGCTGCACCCTGGAGAATGATGTGGTGTTTAACACAGCCTGGTTCTGCCTGCAGGCTGGCTCTGGTCCAGGAAAGGGGACATGGATCTTCCTGTCCTTGCTCCTTCAGCCTCCCCTGCAGCGAGGTGCTCTCCTGTCCTGGCTGGGAGAGAGGGAGACTCCTTTTCCCTGCACACTGAGGTCATCCTGCTTTTGGCACAGCCTCTCTCAGGAGTGCCTGAAGCCAGAGGATCCCTCAGGAAGATGGAGAGGACAGTGTCTGTCTGGGGAGGATCTAGATGTGCTGTGTGTGATTTGGGTGAAGCCTGTGCCTGGCAGTGTTAGGAGCTGATGGCCACGAGGAGCTGGGGCAATCTGGGCCCTTACATCCAGTCCAGAAGAACTCTTGGTCCTTTCATAGGTGGGATTGACAGGTTAGTTCCTTCCTCTCTATCCCCACGGAGGTGTTGGGAGGATCCTGGTGTCTGGTGTGATGGGACTCATGGTGGCATTGATCCTGGAGAGGTGGCAAGCAGAGGCAGCAGCTGTGGCAGGGGTTGAGTGCTGGGAGCAGCAGCACAGGGATGTTTTGTGCCTTGCTCAGGCTGATGTTTGTGCAGACCTGCACAAACACTCCAACCTGCTCACACACCTTCCTCGTGCTCCCTGCGTGCCAGCTTCTCCTGGCCCCTTCAGTCTGCCTGCACTTGATGAATTTACTGTTGCTGAACAATAATAGTGCTTAAAGAAGACAACAGGGAAAATGTGAAAATACATTCAAAGTACTGAACAAATTCACTTTGCAGGAGTTCATTGTGTCACTACCCAGCTCTTGTATGACTTC